GCTGGGGGGGGCATGCTGGGGGTGGGGCTGGGGGAATGCCTCACCCACCACGGAAGGTACCGCACCCACATAATAAAGGACAGCTGATTAAACTGGTGGTTGAATCCACCTCAACAGCACATTCAATCAGCCATCTATGCCAGGGGTGGGCAACCTCGGCACTCCAGCTGTTGTGGAACTACAAGTCCCGAGACTCTGACAGCCGCAGGCATGACTCCCAGAGGCATAACAGGATTCGATGTTTTTCACCACAGCTGGAGTGCCGATGTTCCCTACCCTTGGCCTATGTCCAGACAGCATTTATTCTACATTTTGCCCACAATTACCAGAGTCAGCAGGTCCTGGAGCTACGAATCCGCCCATCCTCCCGTCAGAACGGGTTAAATCCATTTTCTCGGGGACAATTTTCAGTTGGACATAGTTGGAGTGCAGTTCTGGAATCCACTGAAGTCCCAAAGAACCATTTCTTGATGACACTTCTCCAACCGGCAGGAAAGTCTCGGTCTTGTTTGCAGGGGACGGTTCTAGTAGACCCTCCAAAGGCTTCATTGAGTCGGAGTCACCAGTCTGCAGTGGGTGAGACGTATCTGGTAACGGTGCATGTTCACTGTGCCATGGAAACTGCCTGTGCAGTCTGTAAGAGGAGGAAGTCACGGTGGACAGCAGAGAAGAGGAACTTGGCTCAGATGACAGTTCCACAGGCCGGTCTTCAGGTTTATGAAAATGTTTCTCAATAAAGGAACCTTTGAAGACACCTCCAAAGCTACCGAGGTTTTCTCCTTGTATTCCGCTCTTCAGGACTTTGGAAACTTCCTCGTACAAAGGTGACTTGACTCCATCACTTCCTGTTTTGTCTACGGCACCTTGAAAATCTTCCTTTTGGCTTGGCCAAGTCAAGTTGTCCTCTGAGGCCTTCAAGGATTCTGAGCCCCCTGGCAAGGCTTGAAGAGCTGATGTCTGAGAATGTGTGACTGCTACATGAGTCGGCCCCATTTGTACCAAAGAAGTGGCCACCTCTTGGCTCAGCAAGGTGGTCACAGCAGTAGGGCCATCGCCATGAGCTTGGTCTAAATCAGAGGTGGGCAAATGAATGTGGAATCCAGGATCCAATCCAGGAGCCGGCCTGTCCAACCCAGGAGCCGGCCTGTCCAACCCAGGAGCCGGCCTGTCCAACCCAGGAGCCGGTCTGCCCAATCCAGGAGCCGGCCTGTCCAAAGCAGGAGCTGGTCTGTCCAAAGCAGGAGCCGGCCTGTTCAATCCAGGAGCCGGCCTGTCCAATCCAGGAGTTGGCCTGTCCAATCCAGGAGCAAGTCTGTCCAATCCAGGCGCCAGCAGGATATTTTTTGGAATGTTGGCTACCTGGCTCCCGGGGTCTGCCCAGCCCTGGTCTACAGGACTATTTTTTGGGTCTTCCTTCTCCTTTTCTTCAGGTCTGGCTTTTTGGGTTCTATCAGAAGAAGGTTCTAGATGTTTCTTTTTATTGAGTTTTGGCTTCCTAGTCCTTTCCACGTTGTCATCTCCTTCGTTTTTTAGGTGCTGCTCTTTGACTTCCTCCAGTAAAGCTTTCTTGGTTCCTTGTTTTGGGCTTCTCTTTGCCGGCTCGGTTGCATTCGGGTCGGCCCCGGCCGCCTTACAGTGCGGTAAATGGGATTTCAGCCTTTTGAAGGCCTTCCCGCAGAACGGACAGTTCTCCATGGCCGGCGGCGGATCCGTCACTTCTAGAAAGGGAAAGAAATACATTTTAGCCAATGTGTCCAAACGGACTTGTCACCTGCAGTAAAAGCGACCAGACAGACATACAGGACGTCAGTTGTGGAGTCACGTAGATCAAAACCGAGTCCTCAGTGTGTCGTCCCCCCCTCCCCCCCC